GCGATGCCCGTTGAGTTCATGTCTGTTCACATTAATGTTAACAGACATGGATGAAGTAATGGAAAGAGAGGGATGGGGGGGGGATAAAGATAGGAGGGAAGAAAATATGGACATTGGCGTATGCGGACGACGTAGCAGTAATAGCGGAAAACGAGGGGGGAATGAAAAAGATGATAGAAGGGTTGGAAAAGTATATGGAGGAGAAGGGGTTGGAAGTAAATGTGAAGAAAACAAAGGTGATGAGGTGTAGGAAGGGAGGTGGGAGATGGAAAAATGTAATATGGAAATGGAAAGGGAAGAAATTGGAGGAAGTGAAGAAGTACAAGTACTTAGGGTATGTAATGATGGCAAACGGAAAATGTAAGGAACACTTGAAGGAGAGGGTAAGAAAAGGGGCGGCAGTGATGAGGGAGGTATGGGGGATAGGGAAAAGAAGGTTTAGGGATGATTGGGCGAGAAGGCTGTGGTTGTTCGACAAACTAGTATGGACGGTAATGAGTTATGGAGTAGAGATATGGGGTTGGAGGGAGAGAGAGGAGGTCGAGAGGATACATTATAGGTGTCTGAGATGGATAAATGGTGTAGGTTGGAGGACACCAGGGTACCTGGTAAGGGAAGAATTAATGAGAGAGAAAATGAGGGGGAGAGCGGGGATGAGAGCTTGGGGGTATGAGAGGAAATTGGGAGAGGGACGAGGAGGGGAAATAGCAAGATGGTGCTGGGAAGAGTGGAGGGAAAAAGCAAGGAGAGGAAAAGTGGTAGGAGAATGTGAAAGGGAGAGAAGGGAGTTTTATGAAGAAAAGGGGTGGAAGATAGAGGAGGTAGAGAGGATGAGAGAGGAGGGCGAAATGAGGGGAGAGGAGATAGTAAGAAGAGAGAAAAGGTGGCAAGAAGAGGAAAGATGGGGAAAGATAGAGAAATCAAGATCAAATGTGTGGTACAGTTGGATAAAAGGAAAAGGGATTCCGGGATATTTGAAAAAAGGTTGGAAAGAAAAGAGATGGCAGAGGGTAGCGACGTTCAGACTAGGAGAAGAGATAAGAAGCAATAGATATTGGGAAGAAGAGGAGAATAGGAAGTGCAGGGTATGTGGAAGGGAAGAGGAAACATGGGAACACATTTGGGAGGAATGTACGGATTGGGGAAGGGAGAAGGGTTGGAGAGATATGGTAGAGGAAATTTTAGGAGAAGAGGGAGGAGGTGAGGAATGGATGAGGAAAATAGAAGAATGGAGAGGGGTGGGAATAGTAGGGGAGGGGGAGGAGTGTGAGAAGAGTGAGAGTGAAGAAGGCGACGGAAACGGAGGTCCCAGGTATGAATGAATGAATGGATGAAAGAATGATTGAGTGCGTTTCTCTCTCTCGCGAGCGTGCAAAAAAGCGGATAAATATGTAAGCGGAGCGGAGGTCCGCAATGTACCCCGCAAGGGAATAAAGATACATACATACAAGTACGTAATTTTAGTGTCATTTTAATATTTGTTTTAAATATTAATATTATAATATTATTAATATATGTATCATGTGATAAATATATATTTTATCTTTATAGTTATAATTTTTGTTTCACGTTTTGCTGATAGAATCCGGCCTGTGACACACGTATACAATAAAGATCTATGCACGTGTTGCTACGTATAGCAGCATTATATTTGCAGTAAACTACGTATATTTAATACGTAAATACGTATTATTGCAGTAAACAACAAGGCAAATTGAAAACTTGTATATCTTTCGAGCAACTAAATCGAAAAAGAATTTAGTAACAAACTTGACCGAGTAACAAATTGTATGTAAGAGTACTTTACTCTTAGGTATGTTCTAGCACAGCCACACTCTCAGTCAGTTTATTACTATAAATAGCGAGCAACAAATTAAAAACTTTTAAATTCTCTCAGCAACAAAAATAGTAGTACCTAAATTGACAAAGTAATAACAAGTAAAGTTTTGTATTGCGTATAGCGTATAACGATTGCATATAGGAGTTATTTAAAAATACGTTCAGTCGGCGTCAAGTATGAGCGAATGTTCTGCGTTTTATTACGTCAGAAAGTGAGAGTCTGAATGAGCCATTAAGGCTTACATCTTTTGTAGACCCGGCCTTATGCACTCATACAAAAGTGTGTGCACCCGCTATAACCTTATAGCATAGACGATCTCAGATGATTTTGTCTTAATTTCTGTCCTCAGCTTTTGTCGTTTAGTTTTGTTCTTGTCGTTCTATTTGGCTTTTGTCATTATTTTGCTGCTGCTGTTTTCAGAAAAGTTACAATACAATGGCATGCTATGGCTCACGGTAAGATATTTTAATGATTTATGGTTAAACATAACATTTTGGTTACGCATTCTGTCATTGTACCAAATGTTTCAGGAAAGAATTCGTTGAGAGATGTAAAAATTATTCCTGTCTTGATCTAGATTGTGGTTCCGTACACACATACAAATACATAGACTGTGACGTTGCCGTCCCGCGTGCGCGTCCACCGGGTTCCTCCCTCAGGGCAACAGGCCGCGATTAGGGAAAACCGTGCCGCAGTCTCCAGAGAGGCGACCGTTACTCGGAAATTCCGACGTATGGCTGATTATTTTGTTTTTTTTTGTATGATGAACACGAGCGTGTGAGGACGGATGGACGCGAGGGCGGAGGAAAGACGAGAGGCCCGACTAATGGACAAATTCCGCGGCGAGCACGGTGGAGAGGCGTGCGGAGCGGGAACGGAGCGCGCGGAGCAGCGAGCCGGGAGGAAGGAGCCCAGTGCCCGTGGCACGATACCTGAGGGGCGTCAGCGGGGGAGCCGCTGCGACAGCCCTATCGAGGGAACGCGAGGAAATTTTGGCGATACCGTGGGCACCTGCGCCCGATCGTGAGAATATCGCTGCCGGCGTTGTCGCGTGCCGTCGCGCGATTGGCCGCGGGGCACGCGCCTCGTGCGAGCAGCCGCGCGGGGGGGGGGGGCTCGAACTATCGATCCGCGATCGCGGAAAATTCGGAGCCAGCCTGTTGCCGGATTTGTAAGAGTGAGGACCCCGGTCTACCGCTACCGCCGTTTTCCCGCCAAGGAGTGCGAGTTCCCGCGCGAGCCCAGGACGAGCCGTTGCCGCCTGCCGATCCCGGGAGAGCCGAGGTGCCGGTGAGATCCTCCTCCGTCCGTTTCGCCCCGTGCGATTGCGTCCGGGCCCGGGTTGTTCTGTCGCCGCCGGGAAAATTTCGCGCTTGGTGTCGCCCGGGCTACGGCCCGTCGGCTTGAGAGTTTTTTTTGGTGTCCCGGTCGCGGCGACAAGCAACCGCGGTTACCCCGGAGCCTGCAGGGCACAGGCCCCGCGTGAGAGAGTGTGTGTGTGTGTGTGAGCGTGTTCGAGCCAAGGGTCGCGGTCGCGCGGAGTAGAGCCGGTCGCTCTGGAGATTCGCGGCGCGAGGTTTGCGTTGCGCGAGACCACGCGGGGTACGCATGCCGCGGGAGTGTCGCGTGCATGCGCGGCGTGAAGGAACGTCGCCGTAGAGTCGCGACGACCGAGGAAGTGCGAGCGGCTGAGAGAGTGTTTGCGATACCCCGTGCCGCTTCCGCCGTTGTCGGTGGCGGGTTTCGCGAGAACGGCGCGTCCGGAGCGGGATCCCCTGCCGACCAGCGCGGCCGGCGCGGCCGGGAGCGAGCGAAAGGCTCGCCGTAGTTGGCCGTCGGGGCCTGCCCGGCGGAAGTTACGTTTTGCACGTCGTTGTAAGACGGGCCGATCCGTCGGCCCGAGTACCCAGTCTCGCGGGCAAAGCGCCCCGGCCGAGTGTTGCGTGTGTGACGGTATTCGTACCGTTCGCGAGAAAATTCCTGTCAAGTGCGTCCGTGTCGTCCGAGCAGGGTTTATCGCGTATGGATCATTTCTGCCGTTGAGTTCGCGCCGGATGGTTCCGTGTCGCAGAGAGTATCGCGGCGAGCTGTTCCCCCGATCTCGGGGCCTGTATTATATATTGTCGCCAGCGACGCCGCCCGTTATAGCGGCCACTCAACCGGCGTGTTAACGCCGCCTTATATTAAACCCAAATTTATTTACATTATTTTTCTGCGTTTCTTTTCGTGTACGTCTCTCTCCGTGTGTTTCGTCCGTCGCGTGAATTTCTTGAGTCCCGTAGCCTCTGGAATCTTTAGTGGCAACCACCGCCCCGCCCCTCTGCCGTTAGGCGAGCTAGCCTGCCCGTGACGAGGGCCGCTCCATCCCGTTCGTGCGATTTCGCGGATTTCGCGACGTGACGCGTGAAAGACCGCGTCTGGCGCCCAATCTTCATTTTTCGCGTGGAGTTCTCGGCTCGCGGCACGGTACGCGCGGAGCTACCGAGATCCCGCTCCTTTCCGGCGCGTTATCCTTATTTCCCTTGGTTTTTGCCGACGACCCGATCCGTCCGTATCCCGCGCTTCTCGCGCCCGGCGACCACACTCCCCGTCGTCGGCGCGCCCCTTCGTCTAAGACCCGCGCGCGACAGCGAGAGCGGGACGGCAACACCCGTCCGTCCGCGTGTAACGGGAGGACGGAAACTCGAGAAGAAGAGAAAAATCGTCGCAAGACATATAAAAGATAGACTGCTTATGAGGTAGTGGGGGATGTCCTCCTGAGGGAAAAGGACAACACCAATTTATTTGGGTATCTGTCTTCCTCTAGTGGGCGTGGTCTAAGACGTCACCTGCGCACCAGTATGCGCAGCTTTAGTAGCTTCAATAACCTCAAAACATAAGTGCATTATGTGTTTAAGAGAATTTTTACCAATTAATTGCATTATATAGCATAAAGAGTCGAAGACGTTTCTGTAAGGAAGAAATAAAAGAATACAAATGAATATGAAAAAATTAATGGAGCTAAAATAACCTCTCGCAACGTGAGACTTTTATTTCTTATAAACATAAATATTACATATTTAAAATATAAAAATTCCTATATGACTCGAAAAGGTAAAAATTAACAAAGAAGTAAATTGGGCATTGGGAGTACAAATGCGGTAATTAGTGCGTGGAATGCTAACAAAGCAACATTTTGATAAACACAAAAACCGTATGTATATATGTAAACTTATTTAAACATACTTAACACTTTGTGATAGTCTTTACTGTCTTTAGTAAAAAGTATATGTATTTGTATTTTAAATAAACAAAAGTACATGTACATGTATATCCATGTAGATATATAAATACATATACGTTTGCACAGTATAAGAAAGAAAATATAATTTTTTATAAACTTAAATATTACTTAACGGTTTTTATATTGCTCGAAAATATATTAAAATCTTTGGCTTATTAGAAAATAAAATGTATTAAAATGCATATACGAGGGTTGTCCGTAAAATAAGGTCTCCAAGGCGCTGGAATCGCGAGGAACGCTTTAACGCAAGATCCGGCAATACTGGCGTGTAGCTTGTTTCCTCGCCTACAAATCCCGACCACTCCGAGCTTTCTGCGACGCTCGGTTTTTGTTTGGCAGCCGTTCGCGATGGAGCTTCCACTCGCCGCTACCGCCAGATGTGAGTTACGTTCTGTGATTCGTTTTTTGTGTGGCAGAGACACTACGCCTATAGAAATTCATCGTCAATTATGTGAAGTGTATGGACAATAGTGTATGGACATCAAAAACGTGCGAAAATGGTGCAGAGAGTTTAAAAACGGACGTACAGACGTCCATGATGAACAGCGTGCCGGACGGCCATCGATTTCGGACGAAACGATTGCAAAAGTGGAGAGGATAATGCTTGAAGATCGACGGGTGACGATTCGGGAGCTGTGCGTATAACCACTGGTTATACTGTGGTAACACTGACATCAGGGATCAATTCGCACAGCTCCCGAATCGTCACCCGTCGATCTTCAAGCATTATCTTCTCCACTTTTGCAATCATTTCGTCCGAATTCGATGGCCGTCCGGCACGCTGTTCATCATGGACGTCTGTACGTCCGTTTTTAAACTCTCTGCACCATTTTTGCACGTTTTTGATGTCCATACACTTCACATAATTGACGATGAATTTCTATAGGCGTAGTTTCTCTGGCACACAAAAAACGAGTCACAGAACGTAACTCACATCTGGCGGTAGCGGCGAGTGGAAGCTCCATCGCGAACGGCTGCCAAACAAAAACCGAGCGTCGCAGAAAGCTCGGAGTGGTCGGGATTTGTAGGCGAGGAAACAAGCTACACGCCAGTATTGCCGGATCTTGCGTTAAAGCGTTCCTCGCGATTCCAGCGCCTTGGAGACCTTATTTTACGGACAACCCTCGTAGATATGTCTGATCGCAATAATAAAAGCTTATGAAATCTATTGACCCTGAAATAAAACTAATTTGGTATTTTTTGATCTTATACGAATTATAGTTTCTTGTACAGAAGTTGTTTCGTGATGTAAACGTATCTGAAAATACTGACGTAATATTAATCGTATAAGTTGATTACGATGATCTGCTAATGGCACTTGATCAAACATATGCTCATTATCTAAAAACAAGTCATTTATAGGAAGTAAATGAAGCGCACTGTTACTCATTTGTTGCAAAATATTTTGAGTATTTAAATTATATTTATAATGTAGCACAGTTTTTTCAGCTATTTTACAGATACATATTACATCTTTGGATGCAGAAATTAAATTTCCATAACTTTTTCTACGCTGAAGTAACGACACTGGCTGTTCATCTTTCTTAGTAATTAAACTTTTTACAAATGTTGCAATTAATTTTTTTATTAATTGTTTTCACGACAAACCCACTAATATAACTGATAATATCATCAAGATAATTATTAAAAGTTATCTCAGAAATGGACGCGTAATCATGATCAAAAAAAAAGGTAGGTAGGGAGAAACGGCCAATGCGAGCCTCCAGCAGGTGTCCGTACGAAATTATCGATGTTTTTTTGAAAAAACACACTTTATTAAAAAGATCCAAACGTTTCGACCCGTTTTTGGGTCATCCTCAGTGAAGCTGGGATAAAAGATAAGATACAAAGTATGATTAAGCGATGTTACAAACTATTAATATGAATTTTTTACAATGTAGTGATTTTTACCTGATTATAAATAATTAGACTTAATTTGATACCACTGTTAACACGACTGTCATCTATTGTCAACGAAATTTTATCTTTGAACTGGTGTTTGCCAAGTAAAGAGTGCGATTTGTATAATTGATAATTCTAAAAGATTAAGAATCTATTTCGTTAAATTATTCGTTACAATTTAAAATGTGATAACTCACCCAAATTAAGAGAGGACAGTCACGACGAGTGGTAAATAACAATTGACAATGACTGGTGGTAACGCGAAGATATAAGTCAATTCGGTGTAGCAGGATTGCCATAACATTATTTGAGTTGGTAATGTAACTATGTTAGTGTCAAATTTTTAAATATCATCCATGTTGTCAATAATGTGGTCATATGTATTTAAAAGATCAGTGTCGGTCTGTAAATTAAGTCTAGACTTTTGTCTTTTTATATGAATCATTTCAGAAATTAGTCGTTTGTATAAAAATGTCTCTCTATCTAGAATGTCAACGTTGTCCCAATCAAATTCATGGCCTAAGAGTCTGTGTTCAGTAATTACTGACTGTTGTTGGGTATTTCTGTTAATGTGATTGCGATGTTCTTTAGTTCTCGTATTTAATAATCTACCTGTTTGGCCTACATACGAAGCGTCACAGTCTTTGCAAGAGATTTTATACACTACATTTTTTTTAGCAATTTTAGGAAGAGGATCTTTATATGCTTTGATAACACAACTCAGTTTGTTCATACTGGTGAATGAAAGAGACGTATTAAGATCTTGGAGAACTTGCTTAAATTGATGGGAGAATCTGGGAATGAACGGTATGTTGAAGAATTTTTTGGTAGCTGTGTTAACTGTGTTATTGTCTATGTGTATCGCATTCTGATTTTTTAAAAAAGTTTTTAACCTTCTGTTGAGGGTATTGAAGATAAGAGGAAGAGGATAGTTGTTTTGTAATAAGGTGTTGATAACATGCTCTAGATTCTTTTGATGGTATCTTGGATGTGAAAGTAATAGTGCATGATCGATTAAGCAGATTATAGTACCTTTTTTATGATAAAGAGGGTGAGCAGAGTCAAAATTTAAATATCTACCGGAGTGTGTAGGTTTCTGGTACCAGTCGAATTCTATGTGGTTGTCTCTAATGTTAATTGTTGTGTCAAGGAAATTCAATTTTCTGTCTGTTCCCTCCTCCATGGTGAATTGTAGTCTCGGATGGAAGGAGTTGAAGATTTTAACCGTTGAAGATTTCATGGCGGAGGGGACCGACATAGCGATATCGTCTACGTATCTTATATAAAACAAGGGCCTAAATCTGAGAGTCTCCATCGCTTTGCACTCTAAGTCCTGCATAGTGATGTCTGCAATGATTGGTGACAACGGAGACCCCATGGGTGTGCCAAAAGTCTGTTGATAGATTATGAAATTGAAGGAAAAATAAGTCGATTTCAGTACCATGCGAATAGCTCTTAAGAATTCGTCGCGAGGAATCGAGCAGTTATCGGATATGTATGTCCATCTGTTTGCGATACTCTCCTCTGCTAGGTTCAAAGGTATATTAGTGAAGAGGGATACTACATCTAATGAGATCAGGTCATGTGTTTCTTGGATATGTAGTCCATTAAGTTTGTTGACTAGATCGAAGCTATTGAGGATGTGACTCTCTGGTTTAGGAATAGATAATTTAATGATATTATGTAAAAAAACCGAAAAGGCATAGAGTGGACTGTCTACTGAAGAGACAATTATGCGGAGTGGGCAATCTTGTTTGTGTATCTTAGGTAGACCGTATGCTCTTGGTAGTGTGCCATCTGTACAATTGAGTCTTTTATAAATCGAATTGTCGATGTAATTCGATTTCTTCCATTCTACTAATAAACTATGTAGATTACTGATTAGTTTTTTTGTAGGATCTTTCTTAATTATTGTTATATATAGATATATGTATATATATGTACATAAGGGTGCGTGTGCTTACGCGAGCGCGCTAGTGGTACACGCGTATATAGGCAAGAGCGCGTGCGCTGCGAGCCGAGCACGGTACGCGCGTGATTCCGCGGATCGGAGCAGGGGCATTCCTTGCCGATCCTTGGACCCAGAAAGGTGTAGTCTCTCTCAAATAAAACTCGTGGTAGTGAACGTGACCCTTCACCGAGTCTTCGCCTCCTTACACACCGATCCCGGTGCCCATACACAACAAATTGGCGACGAGGATGGGATCGTCGTGAGAGGTACCGCGAGGGGCATTGCGCGGAGCCGACATTGCACGTGTTCGGCGCGGGACTAACGTACACGCGACAAATACAGCCACTGACTTCCGAAGCTACTACACACTGGAAGAGATTCCTTCCCTGCTCGGGGGTTGTGCACTAAAATGCCGTTGGACAATCTACCGGCAGCTCCAGAGACGAAGCCGGCGATTTTAGGATCGTTCGCCATCGAAGCGTTCGATCCGGGCACGACGACGTGGAGACGTTGGCTACAACGCCTGCAAGGCGCCTTCTTGGTGTTCGGGATCACGGACGCAGCACGTGTGCCATACTTGCTCCATTACGTGGGACCGTTGGCCTTCGACATTCTATGCGACCGACTGGACCCCGCCGACCCGTTCACGCAAACCTACGATGCGCTAGTGCAAAAACTGGAGGAGTTCTACGCACCGGCGCCGTTGGAAATCGCGGAAAACTACAAGTTTCATCAACGCAAGCAGGCGGAGGGAGAAACGGTGCAGCAGTTCGTAGCGGCGTTACACAAGCTGAGCATCTACTGTAACTTCGGCGAGTATCTCAAGAAGGCTCTCAGAAATCAATTAGTATTCGGACTAATAAATAAGGAGACTTAAGCACGTCTTTTGGAGAGGAAGGACTTAACCTTCGATGAAGCAGTGCGTGTCGCAGTCACCATGGAATTATCCGAGAAAAGCTCGGAGCAAATGAAGGCGGACGGAGCGAGTACAACTCAGGCCAGTATCGAGTATTTGAAGGCGGGTAAGAAATCCACGAACAAGAATTCTACGGACAAACGACCGAAGCAGCGAGCTATGGAATCCGGCAAGCAGCCATCGACCTCGCGTTCTAAGTTAGATGCAAAAACTAATATAAAATGTTTCAGGTGCGGTAAGCCACACTTGGCTACCAAATGTACAATATCCCGGGATGTTCGTTGCCACGGCTGTGGTAAGCAGGGTCATATACGAAGCGTCTGTTTCGGAAAAAGCTCTACTGCCAATCAGTTAGAAGAAATTTTGCAGCTAGAACAGGTAAATTACAGAGACAAATTTCTAGTTACACTCGAGGTAAACGAAAAACAAGTTAAGTTCGAAGTAGATAGTGGAGCGGCAGTAACGGTCATGAGCAAGTACGAAGCAGCACGCCTTTTTCGGGGAACGGCTATACATTCTACAAACTTACAATTAATTTCGTATTGCAATCGTACATTACGTAGCGTAGGATTCATAACAGTACTCGTTAAGTTTAAGTCAAAGGAAAAGAGATTAAACATATACTTAGTAAATAGCGAAAGGAAACCATTACTCGGTAGAGAATGGATACGACAATTATCGGATGAAACTGGTTTCCTACTTACAAAGGCTGATATGAATACAATATCGGTAAATTCCACGGGCAACCTACCAGGCAAACTACAACGGCTGTTGAATGATCTAAAAAAAACAGTTACTTCGAAATTGTCCGCGATTGTTGGCGTTCAGGCAAAATTAACACTGAAACCAGATGCTGTGCCCGCATTCGTGAGAGCACGACCTATACCGTTTAAATTGAAAACGTTAGTGGAACAGGAATTAGATAACCTAGAGTCCGCGAACATTATTGAAAAGATTACGACCTCCCGATGGGCAACTCCGATAGTTCCCATATTGAAGCGCGATGGTAGTGTACGGATATGTGGTGATTATAAAGTCACGGTAAATCCGCATCTTATTATTGATAACCATCCGCTTCCAACTACAGACGAATTATTTACAAAATTAGCACACGGAGTCAAATTTTCGAAAATAGATGTGAAGCAAGCATATCTTCAATTAGAAATCGCTCCGGAAGATCGTGAGCTGTTGACCTTGAGTACTTGTAAGGGTCTGTATAAGGTAAACAGACTCATGTACGGTATAGCCCCCGGGCCGGCGATCTGGCAGCGAGAAATTGAAAATATTTTGCAAGGCATCGACGGTGTAGCCGTGTTTATTGACGATATTATTGTCACGGGAGAATCCGATGAAATACATTTAGCCCGACTGGAGGAAGTATTGCGTAGATTGCGTAAACATAATATACAGTTAAATTGGGAAAAATCCGAATTCTTATTAAGTAAGGTTAGTTATTGCGGATACACCTTAGATCAGGAGGGCCTTCACAAAGAAAAACATAAGATGGAAGCTATTAAAAACATGCCTCGCCCTACAAACGTGACAGAAGTTCGCGCATTTACAGGGATGATAAACTATTACGGTAAATTCATACGACACTTGAGTACTATTTTGCAACCTCTGAATAAATTATTAAGTAAAAATACTCCATTTCGTTGGACGCAAGAATGTGAGCGTGCTTTTAAAAAAGCGAAAGACGCTTTCGTGAGTAATAAAGTACTAGTACACTTCAATTCAAAACTACCTATTATTTTAGCTACGGATGCCAGTCCGTATGGAGTAGGCGCGGTGTTATCTCATAGATACCCGGATGGGTCAGAGAGGGTAATACAATACGCCTCTCAGGCATTTTCCAATACTCAATTAAAGTATTCACAGATAGATAAAGAGGCTTACGCGATAATTTTCGGAGTAAAAAGGTACTTTCAATTTCTCTATGGAAATAAGTTCACCTTGATAACGGACCATCGTCCATTGGTACAAATATTTTCGCCCGTAAAAAGTTTACCTATCTATTCGGCAATGCGGATGCAGCATTACGCAATATTCCTTCAAGGGTTCAATTACGACATCCAATACAGGAAATCCGAACAGCACACAAATGCGGATTGCTTATCTAGATTACCAGTGAGTCAACAAGATTCAAGGGCCGATGTAGTAGATGCTTTTCAATTGGGGTTAATGGAGACACTTCCAATAACTGTAAATAAAATTGCAATAGAAACAAAAAAGGATGAAGAATTGTCAGAATTATTGCAAGCATTGGAAAAGGGAAACCAGATTCATCGATCAAAACGTTTCCAGTTGGATCAGATAGAATTTAGTTTACAAAACGGTGTAATTATGCGCGGTCTTAAGACAGTCATTCCAAAAGCACTACGCTCAGCAATCTTAAATGAATTGCACGCGGGACATTTCGGAATTGTAAGAATGAAAAATTTAGCCCGAAATTACTGTTGGTGGCCGGGAATAGACAGGGACATTGAGAAACTCGTAAAGAATTGCGCAAACTGTAAAATGCACATGAATAATCCTCCAAAAGTAGCGGTGCACGCGTGGCAACCGGCTACTGCACCTATGCAGCGCGTGCACCTCGATTTTGCAGGTCCCTTCTTGGATAAAATGTTCTTGGTTATGGTCGACTCATTTTCAAAATGGCCCGAAGTACATGTAATGAAGGACATTACCGCTAGAAGTACAATTTCAAAGTGTCAGCAGATATTTGCAGCGTATGGCATACCTTCGATTATTGTTACTGACAATGGCAGAACCTTCACTTCTGTCGAATTCAAAGAATTCCTCGAATCACAGGGCATAATACATAAACTCACGTCACCATATAATCCTGCCACGAACGGCCAAGTAGAACGATTTGTACAGACATTCAAGCAAGCGTTAAAACGCACAAATTGCAACTCATTAAATTTAAATGTAGTTTTAAGTAAAACCTTATTACAATATAGAATTACTCCACATGCGACCACAAACAAGTCTCCGGCAGAAATGTTCTTAAATAGGAAATTACGCACTCGCTTAGATTTAATAAGGCTAGATAAACAAATAGAGAATGCAGCAAGCGAATTACAAGCATGTAACAAAGAATTTATATGCGGAGAGAGGGTGGCGTGTAGAAGTTATACCAAAGACTCCAAATGGAAATTCGGTACAATTGCAAAAAGAATAGGGAAGTTGCATTACAATATAGCATTGGATGACGGTCGTTCCTGGAAAAGACATGTAAATCAAATGCGTTCCATTGGTAAAGATACTCCTATTGTAAACGACGATAACACTTATTATTGGGAAATCGAACAAGCTCAAACACCGGCGAATGCTCTCATGCCACCACCGCAAGTACAGGGAACTCAACCGCTCCAGGAGCAGCAAA